CTGCAAACCACCTCATAATATGGAAGAACCTTGAGGACATTATTCTGAGTGAAATTATTCAATCACAAAAGGACAAATATTGCATAAGACCATTATTGTATAAGTTTATGAAAAGATTTCCAAACTAAAAGAAAAATTATTTGATTGTTACTAGTGGTGAGAGGGAGGGGACAGGAAAGCACAGGTTACAGTATAGTCATATCATAGCTCAAATGATGGGGAGGACAGTATACAAGGAAAGGGAGGGCAATATATAAGAAGGGGGAGGGGGTAAAACAAAAAACATAGGGGACTACTCAGTTACATTTGTGTGAGCTAAATGGGACAGAGGTAAACAGTGATGTATACTCAAGCTTGGAACAGCAGGGCTTTGTGATACAGGGATTGAGACATAGTCTGAAGGGGTAAAAGAAAGGAAATAATGTTAAGGTGTTTGAACGTCTTATGGATATTGGTTTCCCTTGCCTACTATTGTAAAATAGATATTTAAGTGGGATAGAAAGGATTATCAGGACATACAATTACAGAAAGCTTGTAAGCCCATCTTCAGCCTATAACTTATTGGAATACCTAAAAGGCTTTCTAGAATTTGCCCAGTGAAATAGGTTTCTTGTTGAGTCTTTGTAGGGTAATTAGGCCTTAGGTGGAATTCTGAGTCCCATCCAGATCCCTTAAGCTGGGACATTCTTACTTGAAAGAACATGCAGAACAACCCAGAGTGGCTAGGGGAACAGAAGATAATTCTTAAAAGAAAGACCAGCAAGAAAAAAAAGGCACACTGTTTGGCTATTCAAAGAACAAGAAAGTTGTTCACCTGGGAGCCATCAAGGCAAGTTATCAAGGTCTTTCAGGACAAACCCCCTTCCAAGACTGAAACTCAAAAGGAACACATGAGCAGGTTTGTAAGCTAGCTGGTGACCACGTTGGTCTACCCACTGAGTTGAAGTGGGGGAAATTCAGTAATGAAGACATGAGCTGAGTTCAACCACGTTCCATAGATTCCTGTTAACCTTGAGATGAGAGAAGAGGAAGAGCTGTTTGGTCCAAAGTTTGGGGAGACTTGGGAACTCCTGAGTCTATGGACACTGATCTAGCCACTGGAGGCTAGAGTTGAGTGTGAAGCATCCAGCTGATATGAAATGGGGGGATATGCCCAAGAATGCCCAAACTTGCAGATAGTACCTATTTGACCTAGCTTTGATTGCTTGATGATCAGACTCAATAGAGGAAGATAAAGCAGTATGATAGGGGAAGCCAATGTAAA